ATCAACGTTTGGAATTATTCATTGTATTCAAGTTGAGTATGTTATTCTACGGTGAGATCTACCAGTTAATCTCTATCGCATTCGCTCAGAACCCATTATTTCCCCTCTTTGTCCATTTGTTTCTCCGGTTCGTGACCTGGACCAGCACCGGGTGTGATATGACCACATATAGGGGTTAAATTTTTAACTATTGGCTAAAATAAATATGCGTAAGTATATTATTATTTTATATTATTATTTTATAGTAGCGTGCATTATGTATTTTATTATATAAAATTTAATTGATATTATATGGCCCCTATTTGTTTGATTGAAACAGATGTTTTTATTTATAATAAAAATTGACAAATGAGGAAATATCAAAAACAACAGATGTTCATTGGTATTTTTAGAGACGAATAAAATTGGAAACTCACTAATGGAACTACGCGTTGTATACTAATTACTCATTTCAATTCGACCGAACTATTTTTTCTCATTCAATTCTAGAATACATAGATTATAGGTTATAAAGAATTATATTATTACCTATGATAATAGGATAGAGTTTTTTATTTCGTTTTTTATACGCCTATCTTCCAATGTAGGTACGCTATAATTATTTATTGTAACGCAGCATAGGGTTATATAAAGTTAAGGTTATGAATATCTACACAATAAAATCTCACGAGGGAAATATATTTTTTCCAATTATATATAGATAATTACATATATAATATTACATACATGTCTATTATATATTGTACGCAATCGTTGTCCATAATTTTATGTAAGGGAGAAGTTATTGATCAGCTTTGATTGTCGCATATAAGTAGGTATATATACGTATATATTATGCAATTTTTAAATTACGTTACCTTAAATTAAGCGGCGTATATTTTGTTCCAAGAAAATGTACTTTATTTTGCTCGAAGTATTATTATTGTTTAAATTGCAATTTATTTATGCATATTTTGCATTTTATACGGTATTGTTAACATAAAATTAAGTAGGCCAGTAAAAGTTGTTGTTTATGAAAGATTAATAAACCTCCGATATTAATATTAGAAGTATTTTCATATTTCCATTATAACTACTAATTATTGTAATATCATACATTAAACAAATTTTAGTAATTCACTTATTTTGATTTGGCGAATTTCTCATCAAAGTTACCAACGATGGTTCCGTTCAAGACACAGTAAAACTATACCTACCTGCCTAGTTACGTGTTTTCCACCACCCTTTATTCAATAGATAAGTATTATCTCGCGAAGTGCGCCCATGTTTAAATATTAATATTTATTTTATTCCGGTTGTGCATACAACACATATACATACACCGTAAATATATCCATTAGACCGTCAACGCTAACCAGTTCCCAGGTGGGCCCCAAAAACCGACACATACACATACACAGGCATAAAATAATAATCGTTTGGTATATTATTATAATGCGTACACATAATATACGCCATCAGATATTATATTATACATTTTCTCTTCCCTTCTCTCGTGCCTCACTGTCTCTCTCAATACACACACACACTCCAGTCTTCCCTCTCTGTTAGAGACGAGAATAGAACAAAAAGACACATAATATTCCTATATAATAATTACTTTAATGCGGAGCTACGTGACTGTATAGTTAAATATTATTATTATTATAGCCCCCCTCGGTTCTGTTCATATCTTTCCGTCTTTCTATATATATAAATACAGTATGAGCGGATAGAAGGGGAAGAGGGTTACCAAATATATATTTTTATTCCGACATCAGACTTATTTTATTAATGTAGCAGTTGCTTTGGGGTACAGTCGGAATAATAATAATAGTAATAATAATAATAATAATAATAATAATAATAATAATAATAATAATAATAATAATAATAATGATAATAATAATAATAACCCATAACTATAATAATAATAGCTGCTAGGGGGTCTTGGTGGAATCGTAACAGCACAATGATAATAACGAGAATGCCTTAGTGTATGTGTGCAATAATAATAAAAATGTATTATTCAGCATAACACTATATTATTATATTTATACAATATAAACCAATACCATACTATTGTGTTCGGCGTATGTGTATAATATATATATATATAATATTATATGTATATATGTGTGTGTATGTGTGCACACCATAGTCTTTAATATTTATTGTGGTTGTGTGAAACAAAATGTGTGTGTGCATGCACGTTCTGTTCCATCGATCCTTTTTTTTCGTGTGGCAAAATATTGTATTTTATATTTTTAAATAACATTCAACTGCGTCGTGTATATCGTATATGCTATTATCATTATTTTTAATATTATATTTTACGATTATTATTATTATTATTGTTATTATTATTATTACAATAGTATCCGGTTTTGTGTATGTGTATTTCCCCTCTCTCTCTTTTCTGTCTCTCCTGTACTCTCTCCGAGTCTCGTTTGTCAGGGAAATAAATCGATGACTATCTTGTAATGGGGAAAAATGGTAAATGCTGTCCCGTGCAGTGGAAAAATAAATGTAATTTCGTTCTGAAACTAAAGGGAGGGATCATTTTACTGTGGTAGGTACCTACGGATGATAAATTTCGACTATTGATTTTTTCATTGCAGCCGTTTCTTTAGCCACACAAAAGTACAATTTTTTAGAAATTTAATAAGTTACATTGATATAACATATTATATTTTAAAATTAAAAAGTACTGAATCTTTTATCACAATCACTAAAAATTAATATAATAAGTTATTAATTATTATATTTATAATAATTAATAACTAAATTATGTAATTGTATATATTTTTAAATACTTGTAATACAATACTAGCACTACAATATTGTAAATTATAATTGCTTGAGCTTGACTGTACTGGCATACTTATTTTATAATTTGTTAAGCATATCTATTGTACAATATATTATTTTATAAGAAATGTATATTAGCGGCTGTTATAACACTATGTTTGTATAAGCGTTTTTGCATGCATATTGTATTTAATAGTGTTCACTGCTGTACCAGTGTACTACGTATATTAATTATATTATACATTATCATTGCTTACTTACAATATGTGATTAGCTAATTTGCAATTTAAATCTAGGTTTTATAAATGTTTAGAGTTGGTATTGGCGAATACTGGTTATTAATTACTAATTTGTCAAGCGGTCAATTTAACATTATTTAACTTTCATAATGATAATAATATTATAATATTTGTAGTTTTAATATTCTAACCTTAGTATTTTTGTAATATTATTAATCCAGTAATTTTTATTTTAACCTCCATATTATGTATAACAATCTAAATATATAACCAAACTTTGAATAATAGACAAGTTATAGATATGTGTTTTTAATATTATATAGGTATTCTACATGTCATACTGTTCCTGCAAGATAGTTTAATTCTATATATAATTCGTTTATAGTAGGACCTACATGACTTCATCCAGCTAGTATTTGTCACGTTTGAAATAATGCACTTAAATATTTATTGACGTGTGTCTCCCGTCAATTTTCATCCTTATGGTTTTGTTGAAAAATTGAACGACGTCGAGACGGGCGACGCCTCCAGACATACGGGAAAAATAAAAAAAAAAGTATGTTCACAATGAAACACCCTTTGTCGCGTAAAGTTCTGGCCTGTGCTTCCCAACCACGTCATTGACCCTCGTAAGCTTGATACAAACTTAACCTACCCTTCTCCATAAATTGTTTTCTAGTCCAAATCTGATATCCCTTTGGTATTATTCGGTTTAACTCGATGTTCACACTTTGAAAATTGGTGTTTCCGTGTTGATAAGTATCACAATTTTTCACCGGTATTTTTCTCTGCAATTCGAACGGATTTTAGAAAACTAATAATTAAATAAACCATTGTAGTGTCGTTATTCGTATTTGAAGGTTAGGTATGACATTATACAAAGAGGTCATTTGACATTTACCCTTATTGTATACAAATGACCTTTTGATATATATTATATAATATATTATAAATATCGATTATGAATATTCCGTTGCATATTAATATTTCCAAGTGTAGTTGTACCCATGTTTCGAATTATATTATGAATTGTGAACAATTCGTAAAAATATATTCAGAATAATTTAAAAGTTCATAGACCGACAGTTGGTGAATATATACTTGCACAACTCCGGGTCATTGGCTGTGGCCATAAACATCATTTGAGATTCTGGGCCGAGATAAATATAATATAAGCTGTGATAGTTGAATTTATAAAAATGTGTGTAATATGTTATACTTAATGTAAATATCTTTTATTGTTCTCGAATACTAGTTACGTATTTACAATTGTAAATGTGGGGCTTTACAACGCGTCATCAGTCAGTGCCCGCTAAAAGCTTCGGGATTATGAAACAATTTAAATTGTATACCTATTTTGTTTAATAGACATATTACTAGGATTTCATAAAATATTAAAGTACCTATAATGCGATTCCTATATTAGTATATAATAAGAGATAAAATGGTTGAATACATGAAATGTATTTGTTGTTTTTTATACACGGTAAATAATATCCGGTACAAGAATTAGGTTAACACAAAATTGCATTACTGACTTGTGCTCGCCACGATATACTTACAGCCTACAGGGTGAGTGAGAAATGTCTTATTATGTTTTCCGCCACTCCCCTTGGGGAGATGATGCCACAGTTCCCCAAAGGTTTTTTGGTTATTTTTAATGAGTTTGGAGGTTAACCATGAACTTTTTGGTTTTAACCTTTAATTAACCGTAAAGTATTTTACACATTTTAGTGAATAAACTTATAAGTCCATATAGATTAAGTAGGAATTTATCAGGGTGAAAAAACTGTTGGATCTCTATATTATGAGCTATTCAAAATGCAGTTAATTAACAATTTAGACCACCTCCTTTTGTCAGGTATTATTTATATTACAAAATATATGTCATAATAGAATGTATAAATTATTGTTATACAATAAAATATGTATATCCATTTTTATAATTCAATTTTTATTTTGTGATTCTAGGCCAAAATGTTTGAAAGTTCTCAAGCCTGGCTCGCATCCACGTCCTCGCCAATGACATGTAAGTTTAATATTTATATCATGTATAGGTGCATTAGGTATAATATAAATTATAATGAATAATGATTATACAATATATACCTACATTTATATATATTATATACATTATACGTATATTGTATTTATCTTAGGAAGCCTTTTTGTTGTTATTACAATAATTTTGGCTTCAATAATATTATTTATTTATAAGGCATGTTTATATTTCGCAAAATAAATATATTCGATGTAGAGTCGTGTTCTACCCAATATTCAACAATATTCATTGTTCTGTATTGCATATATATACATTTATTTTTATTCAAAATATCTTATTTGGAATTTATTTATTTTGGATTGACTAAATATCTATAATCTAAATACTACCTATACATAATTCAACACTTTTAAGTTTTATTAAGTACCTATATTATATATAATACATATATTTAATTATATATTATATTTTATATACCTATTATAATATATTTAATTTGATGTGCCTGATTAATATGTTTATATAATATAATCTATCAAAAACCAAATCTTAAATATTTTTACTCTTCTCTACTCTGGAATAGATATTAAATATATTTCGTAAGACTGAACATCATTTTTAGGTGGATTCAAACTTGTTTGTCTATTACTGTTTGTCACATATTGAAAAATGAATTACAGATCGTTGATACTGTTTTATAATACTGTATATTTCATAGAGTATTTGATTATTCAACGTAAAACAATTTTACTTGTTCTATTTAATTATATAAGAGTTAACACAATAAATTCAAAGAAGATTTATTTTGGCATTACGTCGGGTATTTTTTTAAACTATGAATGTAGTATACAATAGACGTGCAGTGCATATTTAGAATTTATTTATTTTGGATTGACTAAATATCTATAATCTAATAAATTATAATATTATGTATCCGCATACGCTGCTCCTGAGGTTTTCCAAATCTAAGCGTGACCACCCCAATTAGTGATCATGTATCAGAAAAAAAGAGCAATAAAATATTTAGATTTATTTACCACTTATGTAATATTATAATTTCAAATTGAATCAACCAGTCTCATCACAAAAACATTGTTTACGAGGGGTGAATTAGGGGGTGTGATCATTAGAACTGTCTGTGTAAAATAAAATATTAAAATATGTAATATGTCTATTTTAAAGGATTTATTTTCCTTTTCTATGTCAGCGGGTCATAACACATGACAGTATGACACGATGGTAATTGATTATGTGCAATACGAGAAAAGTGCATTCGACGCGCGTTGCTAGTGGCGGCGCGGTGGTGTTCTCGTTCTGCTACGGCGGCGGCGGAAGATCATCGCTATACAGCCGCCGCCGTCCGCATAGACCACCACCACAAATACAACAACAAAAACAACCGTTTGCTGCCGCTGCCGCCGCCGCCACCGTTTACACTTTACAGTTACCACCGCCACCGCCGCCGCCGTCGTATCTGTCGACGGCACCGCTCACCACGTGCAAGCGGCGCCGTGCCGCCGGTCAACGGTAGTGTGATTAGTGACTGTAAACAACCGTTCGGCAATGGGTGGGAGGGGGGAAAAAACCCACGTGGACGTGTCGTCGGAAATGCGTTTCGCGTGGTCTTCATAGTGCACCCGTCTGAGGAGGTGCATCGGGTGTCGTTCTTTCTGCCCTTCGATCCTGTGCGCCACTCAATTGACCGTTTTATACCTATACTTACTGCATCCGGGTTTTTATCTAATTCACTATGGAATTTTGGTTCCGTACCGTTGGAGAAAAAAAGACACCCCGCCGACATGGCCCGTTGTACATTCCGTACATTTCGCACACTGCTACAGCGCGGGCAGGGATGGATTCTGTATTATATAGTGGTGATCGTGAAATTATGGGACGCATATAATAATTACATTTAGCAACTCGAAACTGCCAACTTAGATGGTAATTGTTTTAGTGTTTTTGAATAATATTGTTACAATAATGTTATTATTATATAATAGGACCGGAGAGAAGTTCTATAATAGAGTCGTCTTGTTTTCATATGCGCACCTACCCTTTTAAGTTTGTAGTAATTGAAAATAATTAATTCTATATCCGAGGAAGAACTCCGTCCGATCAATAACATCGTGATATCGAATTAATAATAATAATCTACCTACTCGCTTATATTACAAATATTTTATTATATAAACATCTACAATGAATACATGATGAACATTACATAAAATATACTATATGTATTATATAGGTATATTATATATCGTTTATATACATCTAGTAATGAAGAAATACATGTACTTACCTATAGATAATTGTATGAACCTATATACTGAGTTGCCATTATAATGAATTTATGAGAGCGATAACTTCTCGTAGTGCGACGTAATATGTAACATTAATCCTAAATATTCCTATCGTAATTTGATCTTTTGTACTTTTTAATTGTCACGTACTTTTGAAATGTTTTAAAATGTTTTTATCTATTTTATTTGTATAATATTAAAATATTTTTTTTAGATCGTTTTTGTGCCTTTAAAAAAAATACGTGCCATATCTGTATTTCTCTTTTTCGGCTTAATTTACAGGTGCCTATATAACTACACCTTTATATAATAGGACATAATCACCCACATAATATTATAATAACGAGCAAATTATTTACCAACTTTGGTACCTACTGAAATCTATTTCGTCGATCAATGGTTATGAACGAAATCCGGTCGCTGCACCGCTCTTCTCCCCTCGCCCGTTATTTTATTTATACCGTGTGTTGTGGTGTATTGCAGCTGGCGGTCTGGTTCAAAGTAAATGCCACACGAGCCATCTATAAAATATCTACATAAAATATATTATTATATTGTTATTATGTTTTGCAATTTTGCACCGCGACCTGCTGCGTCCCGCGTAGATTTACTCGGCTGCCCAACGATGACTTATGTGCAGTATTTCGTATATACCTGCAGCATTTCATTCGCTACCTATATCGTTACGATACAACATTATATTAGGTATCTACCGACATCCCATCCACTGTTGAGAAATTATTAAAACGTAATCATACACATTATGGAAAATTAATCGATCAGGCCTTAAATTTAAAGACCGATGACGGTGTCGCACGCCTATATAATAATATAATATTATACCAGTAACGCATCACGCGTGACGATGGCTTATTTAACGATTGATATTATTATAATACATATTACCTACCTGCCTACCGCGGCTACCACGACCGCTCGACAGTTGTAATCTGAGCGACTCACGCGTTAACGACAATACGATGCTTTTACCTACATAATAATATTACATCGTGTGCATATATGCCACCTGGCGGTTTCGAGGAATTTTCGCTAGTCTGCTGAATGGATATTTGAAGGTGCGAGAAACAACCAATTTATTCCGTTTTTTTAACAATATTAGATCGTGAGAGAAATACTGCACGTTGTCAGTGGCGTAGCCAGGGATGGCTGATGATGCTGCATCCCTCCCGGAATGTCATAAAAATTTAAAACGCTCTCAGTGTTTTGTGAGTTTTGACCGTATTACGTATTACTACGACGTGAGTGAAGTGACCAAATATTCAAATTGTAATTTGTATGAAGGTATACGAAACTCTAAAATGTGTTATATCCACGGCATCAGTATTCCAAACTTTTGAGGGACTCTAGTTAAGCCTTCCCTATATAACACAATATTATCAGCCCCTCCCAAAGCAAAATCCTGGCTACTCCGCACTGCTGCACATTGTATAATATAATATTATGATCATCGTTCGTAATATTATTATTATATGGTATTGTTGCATGTATAATATAATATTGTAGGCGGCACCTATATATACCCCTCCGGATAATGCGAATAAATTGTAATTCCGTATAACACGGGAACTTATTAAAAATTTAACTATATAATATATATTATAGAGTCGAGCGGTCAAACGCGCGTAATATAGTGGTGGTACCTACTATCGTACATTATTCACCACCCAGGGCCCAGGGGATACACAACAAACGGGCTTAGCCCCATCCCGCTGCAGTGTTATATACTGTCCCCTCCCGTCTTTTTTCTCTCTCACCCTTTTCTCCTATATTTTTTTTTTTGTTCCTCGTCCGTATACAGTGTATACACCCATTATCATTGCAGCGCTGCAACGAGGTCGAAAGGTTAATGAGTTTATACACACATAATATATAATATTATTGTATATATAATATTATAATATAGTAACGCGTACCTATATAATATTATACCTACTACATAACCATGTACCCATTATAAAGATACGATATTATAACGTGTGTAACGATATATAGGAAAAGGAAACCGAATATTATTATAATAATAAGTATGTGCAGCGTGTGTCGGGAGACAATATTATTATTATTATTATTATTATTATTATTATTTGCCTTATACCGTGGTGGCGGTGGTGGTAGTGGTGGTCGCGGTGTGGGGTGTTATATATACCTTTATAATAATATATTATACATTCATGCTGTGGCGAAGTGAAGTGGTGTAGTACCTACCTATAGTAAACGGACGGGAGAAATCGGCGGTATGTATATTGTGCGTCCAATAAATATACAAGGCATATTATACGTACACAATGTGTTTGTCGTTCGGCGTAGACCAGCAATCATATATATATTATAATAGCGAACGCGCTATATATATATATTATATATTATAATATTATAGTGCGGCGACTTGTGATGGATTTACATAAAACAATTTACATAGTACATAATTTTACTGTACAATAGTTAAATGCCCTGTTTTATTATACGAAATGCTAATGAATGGACATGGCCATTACGACACACTCGCGCAGACGCCGGTAACATATTATATTTTATATATATTATTCTGTTGCTTACATTATATTATTGCCGTTGTTGTTATTATTTCCCATTTTTTTTCTTCTTTATTCGTTGAAATATATTATTTCCCGACGAAATCGTTATTATTATACTACGACGTTCAAAGAAAAATATTGATACATACATCGCAGGTACCTACATTATAATAAGCATACACATAAAATAAAATATTCTTGTACGTACATGGGATATAATATATAATATATTTATATACGTATAATCGTTCACTGTGAGTCGTAAATAAATTATCAAAATTTAGTATTCCGACCCCCCCCCCCTTCCAAGTGCGTATTATATGGGCACCTATATTACATGTAGTAGGTACCTATGTATAATATAAACTCGATCGATTTATTTTCCAATTGCATAAAATATACATATTGCTATAGGTACGCCGTTTATTCGTATGAGCACCTATACCTACTCTTATACAATATATGATATTAAATATATATCAGTTATCCATCTGCCATTATATCTATTATACTTATACGTATTATTATTTATCTACCTATACGCTCGATATCCGTAAAAACAAAATATGCATTTCATGCAGCGAAACCCCAGTCTTTGCGTATATTATTATGATTATTATTTATTATTATTATTGCTGAAGCCTATTATTATTATTATTATTATTATTCATGTTACACAATTCGTTGATATCGTTTCCACAAAAAATAGAAACATAATAAATCATAATACATTTTTATATCATCGATTTCCCTGAAAAATGTATTAGTGTATTATTTATTTACTATATTGTCTTGAGCTTTTCAATAAATGCCATCCGAACTCTCCTAGAAATTCTATACATTCGAGTGTTTGCTCGATAATAATAGGCAATAAAAATATAAATATTGATTACTATACTTGGTGCGGTCGGTCACATTGTTTACATTCCATACAACATTAGACTTTATTTGTTTTTAAATTCTAAAAAACTCGCCCCTCTTTTATTTCCCAGTGTCAATAAACTGCAGCTTGGTTATATGGATTGACACAAAATTTCTAATAAGATATTTATTACCAATTATTTTTTAATACAGCCATCCTGACCCTTTTTTTCCCTTCGCGGCGCTATAAATAATATCGGTATATTCGATGGAAAAAAATTGCGTGTGTACGTATAATGCATAATATCTATATATGTATATTATAGATGCTCGTGTATATATAATATGTATATTATATTGTATCCCGTTTTTATTATTTTTTTTTTTAGTTTTTTGCACCCCTTATTTGCCACGCTGTATTTATTAATAATTTGTAATAAATTTAAATTATATACGTTTTTTCGACTTTTACGTACGTTTTTTTTTTTGCACGAACAACAATCGCCGCGTTTGCAGGTAGGCGAAAGTCCACAAATTATGTTGCAGGTTGTCGTCTCAGAGTATGTGTGCACTGTGTAACTGCATAGTGTTTGAATCGTAGTAGTATATAGGGTTTACTCGATGCTTGTAAATAATAGTTAGATTACATATTTTTATATATATGTGGAACCTATATTTTGTATTATATTACTATACATTTTATTATGCATAGCACATATTATATTATAAAAGCGCAGCCTATATTGTAACCCGGTGGTGGTGCACCGGTATATTGACAATATTCTACAACCGCCTCCTGTTACCTCCACACCTCTCCCTTCTTCATCCATCAACGATAATATAAACATAAATGTGTGTGTGTGCGTAGTCTTGCAGTCACGTATATATACATAGACAACAAACGAGCAGCTTGCATTGTTAAAATTAACACGCCACAGTCGAAATAATGTTTATAGATGTTAATATGGTGTATATATATTTGTTTTTTGTCGTTTATTTGCTTACGTTAGTATACACTATAGTGTACAACGTTTTAGATTTGGTCGGGGTTAGGCCGTCTCGATTATATTATATATTTTAAAAAGTCTCGTCCGCCATGCACGTGCGCAAAACTCGCACGTCATCGACGGGTATATTATATTATATTTATATTGGAGAAAAAAATTTAAATCTCCGTATATTATATTACACTAGCACACACGTATAGGTACGCAACAGCCGGGCTTAAATGTAAATCGCGTATGTAAAGGCATTTTAATAATATTATATAGTGCTGCCGTCGTGGCGTGCGCAGCACACAATATTGTTATATGTGCGATATTAATGTATTATCGTACGCGTTTTTATTGCAGCGCTCAGTTCCCACCCCGTACAGCCCATGCAGTTGCGTAAGTTCGACAAAGCGTAATTTCACTTATTAATATATTATATTGTTTCTTCCGAGTTCCGGATTTATGTTAGTTAAGAATAATTATATAAAATACGTATACGATTGAGAACTTGTAAAAAAAAAAATTCTTGGAAACCCTATCACACTTATCTATATAGATTATAAATACTTCATTGTTTTCTAAATTCTAGTCAAACAATATTTTTAAATGTATTATAAAACCAATAATTTTCGAAATGATAATTTATCTATGTTAATAATATCTTGAATTTCTAATATTTCTATACATTTATAGTAAGATCATTTTTCTACCTTTAAGCTCTGTGTCGGAATCCCGAAAAGTCGACATTCCCCACTTTCCCTCTTTATTACCGCCAGTGTATATATGATGTGTGATGTAGACTCTCTCTCTTTATTCTTTCCCACCCCCATTCTATTTTAAGTTAAATATTATTCGTCTTTAATCATTCGTATGATTAATTTTCATGTAGCATATTAAATCGTACATAATATATATATTATAATACAATATAATAATGCCTACCCATTCTATTGGAACGATACCTATATACCTATGCGCTTCAATAACCGGTGTGTTCTACCGTTGTTTTAACAGCCGACAGTTACCAGTACCAACTGCAGTCCATGTGGCAAAAGTGCTGGAACACCAACCAGAGCCTCGTGCACAACCTACGGTTCAGAGAGCGCGGTCCGCTCAAGTCGTGGAGACCAGAGACGATGGCCGAGGCCATACTGTCCGTGCTCAAAGAGGGCTTGTCGCTGTCACAGGCCGCTCGGAAGTACGACATACCATATCCAACGTTCGTGCTGTACGCCAATCGGGTACACAACTTGCTCGGTCCCTCCGCAGATGGTGGCGCAGGTAAGCGGCGCTTCAGACGCGTTTCACATAATAAATAATAATTGCCAATAATACCATCCATTATCTCTGATCTCCGCGAGGTTAATATTTCAAGCTAGGATATAGCAAATTAATGCTGAGCAGAACTGGCTTCGTTTTTAAGGTAGAATCTCAAGCCAGGATATACCTAGACTCGAGCTAGTAGCACCATACCTACCATCAAACTGGTTTAAAATTCCTATAAGTTATAATATCAGGCGAATGTTGTAAACATTTTAAACCACTCTAGCCTGTGCCAAGCCAGGAGAGTCACCGGAAATAGGTACTACCTTACTTTATTCTAGCTTGAAATACTATAGCCTCGTGTAGACCGGGCATTATGTTATAATATTATATATCTATCTACGCGGGCCACACGATAATAATTATTATAATTGTAGATATTATTGTGTACGTGTTTTAACGATATACGTGTGCGTATATTATGCGTGCCACGTTAAATATATATATATAATATGTATATGTAGGTATAAAATATTATTTATTATTGTATATTATAATTTCTCTTCTCGTAATCAAAGTGCCGCCTCACTGTGTATATCATTATATCGGCGATTCGTATATTATAATATATATTTCGATTTCATAACGTTTATATTGTAATATTATATACACCGTATTATTATAATGTGAACAATTAAACGTTTCCAGATCGAATTGCACAATAATATAATTTGTTATATTGTACATCATTATTGCATATATTATATTTATATTATATACATTATATAGAATGTATACAGGGTGTTTGTCCTCGTAAATATGTATTTTATGTAGTGCGTATTGTGTATATCCGTACGACTTTTATATATATCACTGTATATATTAGCTGGTACAGTGGTACGTCATTAAATATATAATACTATTTAATATCATATAGTTAGGTATTCTCCTGCCAATAACTTATACATTTCCATTCGAATACCTACCCGATGAAAATGAATAATCCCGTAATATTAGGCAGTCTTGAATTGTCAAGAAAATCGAAAACAAAGAATTCTACATTTATTCATTTCAAGTATTGGTGGTTAGGTATAGCATTCATTTTCCTAAATTATACTTCAAGTATAAATTATATATTGCAAAAAAATTGACGGAGACATACACAGTGAGACACTCTGTATATTTATAATAATATATTATATTTAACAACCGCTGAACTCTTTATAATTTGTTTAACGTAATTTTTTTATGTTATTAATTTTATGACGACATTGCTTATCATCTATCGGTCTATTATTCGTATTTCTTTTTATTATTTAAATGAATACCAATAACAATATATTATTATTATATTCACAAAAAAAGTATACAAAAAATTCCGAGTATATCGTTTGAACTCTGTACTCGAAAGATTTAATATAAATAATTTATATTGTGCAATGTGTACGTAACACTAATATTATGTACGCTGACAGTTATTAAAAAAAATATATATTTTTTTATAATATGTAAATGTCAACGTTTTTTCTTATAATCAAAATAATAATAAAATATAGTAAAAATGTTCTTGTTGAATTTCCAAACAAAGATCTTTAAAGTTATATAATTCTGGTCATGTTATTTATGAATTTTTTCCTCGAGTTGCTTGATTAATAATTCGATTGTGTTTGAATTATTTTGAATGTTATTGGATATTTTTTTCAAAATAACTCATAGCTGAATTAAGATCAATAATTATTTCTACAACATTGAGTGATATTTAAACAATTTAATTATTAAAAAAGGTGCTCTGCTGTACAGTAGGTTACAAGTGGGTCACTGTATAATTGATGGTATTCAATTTGAATTCAATGATATAATATCATTGTATAAGAAAAACGATTCTGAGCGGAGACGGTGTGTCACTCTATGTATAAGACATATTATATACATATCTTTGGTATTAAAAAAAAAATTACCTATAATAAATTCCAAATTAATCATATCACAATATCCATTAGGTACTTATAACGCGTTATACATCAATAACAAACTGTAATCCTATCATAGATATATAGTAGTATACTTAAGAAGTTTCAAATACCCACGAATAATATTATACAATCACAACAAAGTAACTAAAATAGGTATTCTAGGTTTTTTAATATGTAGGTAATTTCGTCCAAATTTGAACTAAAAATGACTATAAAAAGTAAACTGTTCTTTTGTGTTTTTGGATTTTTTGGTAACAGAATTAACTACATACGTGGAATCTTGTTTTACATTTTGAATCCTTAGATGTAAAAGTTGAACATTTTATAAATTTTTAACTACTTACATAAAATAATTATTCAATTTTAAATTTGATAAACTTTGTCAAAATTCGAACTTTAAATGCTTATAAAAAAAATTTGTGACTTTGGATTTTTAATAATTTTCATCTGTGTTTTAAACAATATAATAGGAGCCTTCTATTACATTTTTAAGCTTTTGTACCAACAAATACAATTTTATGATATTTATAGAAAACAAAACTAAAAAAAAAATGGAAACTGAAAATGTCCGTAAAGAGCTCAAAATAAGTCAAAATATTTGGAAAATGTTATGGTGTATAGAAAATGCTAATATAAAAATTCAGTAAAAATTTCATGTACCTAAGGTCATTTGTTTTAGAGTTGCACCAAAAACCAAAATCGATTTTTTCAAAAACAGATTGTGCGTACAAATTTCCGATTTTCCTTAATTTTTCTTTTGTTTTTCACTGCGCTTTTGAAAACTACTGGGAAATTTTTACTTTTGACCTCCCAAAGTACCAACTAGATTCACTTTCCTATCAGAAAAGATACTGTTGAAGAAAATCCAAGCACTTTGTGCACTACCGTCCTAAAAGGTGATGACAGACACTAAATAAAAAATACATTCATGGTTCCACTCAGAATCTAAAATAATAACAAATAAAATGAATTGTTAGAAAACAAACCAATCCGTAAAGTGCAAATACTGTATACAAATTAATGTTTTATATTATTGCTTATTGTTGTGATTTAATATTTGACAGATGTATTTATTATTTGAAAATATAACTCTAGACCAATATTAAACCACAGGTATAATATTTATACTCAACAAGACTCAGTTAAATATTTTGTATTTATTTAGGTACACATTTATAATAAATACTTTTTTTTAATGTATTATTTTCGGACTTTGTTAATTTCCATCTTCGCCCAATTGTTATTCATTTATGTGTTATAGACGTTTTAAATCTTGTGCCATATTAATTATAATGTTTTTCTAAACAAATATTTTCTTATCCATACATTAATCAAACATAATAAATAATCATACACCTTTAGGAAAATGCATAACTGTGCCGAAGAAGAGTTAACTTGCTTTCTTAGTATCCTTATTTCAAATTGACTCCTGAAAGAACAACATTAGGTACATTTTAAATTAGTATGAATTAAAAAGTAAAAATTAATGAAAAATACAGAGAGGCACTAGGTGCTCACCCCCATTTTTTCCTTAAATACTTAATTAGGTAATTCAAATTTTGAGTTTTGTAATTTTTAACAATTTTTAAGAAGCATATTTTCAAATATTTTTTTATACTATTTAAGGTGTGTTCTGTGGTGACACCAACCTATTTTTTTTAAATGAAAATCACCCATGATGAATGTATTGATTTTACAATGAAGTGTGTTTTTTTGTCTGTCAACACGAAAAGTATTTGAAAAATGCTTCGAATTTCAGCTTTGAAGGTAATCTCTGATAGAAATTTGGATCTAGTTGATACGTTTGAGATATCAAAATAGAAATTAATAGTACCTACTTTTAAAATAGTTGTAGAAAACAAAATAAATTTAAACCCAGTTTTTAATCAATGCCCCCCCCCCCCAATGACCGTTTTTTAAATTTTTTTTTTTATCGTTAAACACATTTATGTACTAATTTTATTAATGTATATTTTATAGATAATACAAAAATCACCCGAATCTAAATTCAAATATATTCAATATTTTTCATAATATACTTTCTGTGGTAGAAATTTAAAGTAAATCTTGAAAAAGTAGATTTTGAAGTATAATGCTTTACTTTTTTGCTCCACAGAATCGATTAAATGGTCTTGCTATGTTGGCTGTTCATAAAAATGTCAAAATCGACCCTGAAGAAGTGCTTAATGAATTAGAATTAAGACCACGTAGAGTGGATCTTTTATTGCGATTTGTGATGTAACTGTATCTAGTATCTAGGATCTAGGTATCAATAAAGTTAATGTTTAAATGTACCTAAATGTGAATAGTGAATATCTAAATAATATTATGTTATTATTTATTTTAATGTATAGTGTATACAATATTACATACAGATCAAAATGGTTGTATACTTGTATTGAGAGGTGCTTATTGCTTAATATTGCTTATATGATTAAAAAAAAAATGTGGGGGGGTGTAATTTGTGAAATGTACATACATTTAATCCCATCCCCCCGGAACCATGACCAAATTACGCCACTGATCCAGACTGACAAACCGTCTCCGTTCAGAATCGTTTTTCTTATACAATGATATTATATCATTAAAATCAAGTTTAATACAATCCTTTATACGTTTACCCACTTGTAACCTACTGTACAGCAAAGCGACATCCACTTACTCACTTTTTTTTTATTTGTTTCCATGGTGATAGACAAAGCGTTAGAAATTAAAATCCCATTTTTAGAGTTTTTTTGTAATTTGTCAGTGGGTTTTCCCGTGGCATTAAATAACTATTGATGAAAAATGACGTCTCTAAAGTACCATTTTGATCAAATTTGCTAAAAGAGAAGATACTATATGTTGAAATTGAAGCAGTCCTTCTGGTAGAAATTTTGTATAGGTACAGGATAAAAAAAAAACACCATTGTAAAACCACTAGATCTCTCGCTCCGCTTAGAATCTAAAATATCAAAAAACATTGGAATTTTGAAGAATTTTGTCAAAATCGTCATCATTCGAAAACTATTGTATAAACATTTTTATTTTTATATCTAAGATTTC